GGGCTACCTAGACCCTTTTTCCGCAAGTGTGCATGCAAGTTCATTGCACAAGAGATGAGCACAATCCCTATACACCCAGCCCTAGGTCAGAGCAAAGTCACGAGGAGCTTAGATCACCACCATTTGTCTGTGAACTGGACAATTAAGAAGCGATGCCTTTAAGCATCCAAATGGGCCAAACGAGTTACATCACGCAGTGACTAATAGCCATCCCCCAATCCACATGACCTTGGGAAAGCTGTTCGCCTCTCTGAACCTCAGCTCCCACAAACGGATTTGCCCCTTTATCAGTAAACAGCTCCAAAGAGCGTCCATACTAACGTTACATGTTCACTGCTCCCCTTCCTCAGGCACGGGGGACCCAGCATAACCTGAAGGCGATTCCACTCTGCCTTGCCACAAATGCTGGCCCAGCCACCCTTCCAAGTAACACCGGTCCCAATCACGGCACGAGGGAACAGACTCAGGACTCGATTTAAAAGCCGTAAGAGCCAGTGCCGTGGAACAAGCCACTGCACGTTGGTGGCCAGTCACTGCTGAAGAGGCAGGAGAAAGCCAGAGGAATCACTAATGTGCAGAGGACCTGTTGATGAGCTGCCCCAGGTCTCAGCTCTGTGTGCAGCTGGGCGGAGCAGCCAGACAACATGGATAACTCACCAGCACACGCTTGCCGCACAGACCGAAGGCAATCAGGGGTGGCAGCTCTTCCACTCCCCTTTCAAGAGCTCCCACTTGTTTCCCAAGTGGATGTCTTCAGTGCAGTTTAATCAGTAACTCAACAAGTGGGAGAATATCCTGGCTCAAATGAAGTCAAATTATTGACATCCATGAAGGCAGAATTCCCTCCCCTCCCAGCTCCACCAGACTTCTGGGCGCGATCCCGCAAGCACGGGAACTACCAACCTGCCACGCTCCATCTGGATCCCCTCACCAGGTCCCATGCGCTTTCCCGGAGCGATTGCTGTCCTCCTTCAAGAAGGAGAAGGATCACCAGATCCTCTCCCACTGCTCCGCACCAACCTGCAATAAAACAGATAAACAACCAGAGTTAATCTCAGCTGGGGCTGGGAAACCCCCTTCTCTGAACTCCACATGATCACGTGGGTTATCCAGAGGTGTCCAGAGAGTTTTATGGTTTTGACCAGGACTGTTTATTTGGCTGAGTTTCCAGGCTGGAAACATACAGGCTAATTTAGATGTTTATAATTCTTCCACCTAGAGAACGCCTTGTGCATTCGGAGGGAGAAAGGGGCCGGGCACGCAGCGAGGCCAAGGGCAAGCAAGCCTGTCTGCTCTCCAGGAATTCGGGGCAATCGGACAAGCTGCTGGACCTCCAGGATGCAGTTAAACAGAGCAAAGGGGGGTTGCCCTGATAACACAAGGCTCAGTCTTTGGGGGCTTGGCCATGCATTCGCAGCCGAGCAACTTTACGACAAGCTTTTATGGGCTTTTAAAACTCTTGGTGGCTTGCCTTTAAAATTGGAAATTCAGGGCTCCACCATAATGTTACAGGCCAGGACCGTGACACAGACACCCTCCAGAGACCCCTGCCTCACAGGGTTCAGCCAGGATCCCCCCCAAGAAATGCCCCCATGGCAAATAATGCTGGGGAAATAAAAAAAAAAAAAGTTTTGCTTAACAACAAGAATTGCCTCTCTCTCCCCAAGAAAAAGCATCCAAAAGACAGCTCAGCAAAACTTTACCCCCCTGACCTTATTTCTCCCTGAGAAAATCTGTTCGAGAAGGGAGAGATGGTCGCAGCCAGGAGCTGACGCTGCACAAAGAAGTGATGGCTAATCTACCAAAACCAGGAGATCTAGGGAGATCAAACAGCTCCACGGAAACACAAAAAAAGGAGACTGGCACGCAGATACAGAGCAGTGTCAAGGCACTGTGAAACTGTAAAAGGTCAGAAGAAACCCAACCCGGCTTTCCTGATTCATAAGGCTTTTCAGGAAGAGAGCCTTGCATACCTGAGGTAATTGGGCTGGCACAGCCGAGTGTTAAAGGAAGCTGCAAGGGTGATCTTCGTTAGCTCATCTGCTGCAGGCTACATGTGAAGTGAGTTGTGGCCAATCTTGTCTTGATTGCCTTCAAATCAAGGTAATGGGAAACTGGGCAAAAAACGTGACATGTTAGCAGAGCTGTTAATCATTTTGGAGCAGCCTTGTCTCGTAAGCTGGTATTTGGTTAAAAGGGAACACAACCAACAAGCACTTCAAAAAGCAGGTGCTGTTTTTGACTGCTTCATTCAGAGCAGTCAGTGGTTCCCTGGCACTCTGATGTGCCTAGCAAACCCTTGGGGCTAATGCTTGCATTTTCTTCTGTACAATGAATATTTCTGTATCATCGTTTATTCACACGTCCTTAAAACACAAACAAAGAAAAGGGATTCACTTCCTCCTAGGAGGCTTAGATTAAAAGCCAAAATCTTTTTATAATTACCTCAGCAGAAAATTCAGCGCCTGAAGATTTCAGTCTCAGTATCTTCCTGTTGTAAGAGGAGGCCTTTCTAGCCTGCATGAGTAGGAAGAAACGTTTAGGTAGCTGCAAAGCAAACTCAGCCATGAGTTTGCAAGAGTTCTGACTCTTTAGGCAAGAGTCAGAAAACAGAGTCTAAACGAAAGGAGTTTTTTCTTCTAATTCATTCTTATCATTTTTATATTGTTTTAATATTCATCTGAAAAGCCATTACACAGCACAGTGTTCATTGTTTCAGGCTGTTTTTTAATTGGGTAATTGTGAAGCGAATGGATAAATGCTTTTTCAGCTGAGAACAAGAGATACCATTAAGCATCGAGCACCTGTCCCAAACTTATATTCAAGGCAACTGAGGAAACAGAGGGCTTAAGCCCGCTCCCATCATCACATTGATGGCCAGCATGGAAGGCAGCACCCTGCTGGCCTCTGCCAGCTCACGGTGAGGACTCACAAACGTGACTCTACTTGCCTGTATGGATACGGAAGGGACTCGGTGCCTGGTTTGCTTCTGCCTCGAGCACCACGCCACTGCAGGGCTCCCTACGTGAGAAGGGGCCCGTTCATAACCGAAGCCACACGGAGGACGACGGGCCATTAAGTAAACCCATGCCCCAGCTTACTGACAGCAACCGAGGCGCACCCGGATGCTAATGACTGTTTTTAAAGGATGCTCAGCACTCACATTTCTGGCTCTGGCCTCCTCCTGAGGCCACAAGCCTGGGGACCCCTCCAAGGAAGGAGGTTCAAGGTTTGACTTAATTCAGATTTACGACTGGGAGTCGCTGAAGCATTCAGCCCTGCCTCAGCTGCTGTTAAACCCTGCAGGAAGCACCTCTTAGGGAGCTGGGCAACAGTGCCAAAAGGCAAGTAGAGGACTTTGGCCCCTGCGAGCAGCATGACACAGCCACCTCCTCACTTCCTTTTCTCAATGCCTGGAGTCTAATGAGGGGTAATCCAATACAGTAGCATTTCCTCCGCTGAGAAAACGGGAAAGGGCCCTTTTCTACCCAGCCCCTTTTTGCATGAAATGTGGTAGCGTTTTATTTTCTGTGGGATTGCTGCAGCCTGGGACGTGGGTGTCGAAGAGTGTAGGAAGGTACACAGAGACCTGGGCTAAGCACCCAAGTCTCAGGATGGCAACTTGCAAGCCAAGTCCCTTTCCCATACCCAGAGAATCCCACTCCAGTCACAGCTGAACCCTTAACTGCGTGCGGAGGCAACAAAAAAACAAAACAAAACACACACAAAAAAACCCACACAAGACAACTTCCTTCTAGAAATTCCCATTTTGCTAGAGAGCACACATGGCATTCTTCAGGAAAAATAAATGAAAAGCCAAAGCCCACGCAGTATCAAGGTCAAACTCCCTTCAGATAATGAAGAACACATCCAAAAGAAGTTGCCAGGGTGAATCACAGAAAGGAGGAAGGAGTCAGAATCAAGTTTTTGTTCTCTCTTTTTTATTATATATATATATATGTAAAAAAAAAAACTATTCTGAAGAAGTCCAAATGCAACGGAATATAACTGGCACCATCTAAGATACCCAAGTATAAAATCCCGGAACGTCTGAACCCCCGGCACTATCTGGCAGGGGCCGGGGGCTGGCTGGGAAGGCTGATTGCTTCTCCATTCTCAGGAGCACTGTCATGGCTGGATGGCAGGCAGTCTGAGAGCCAGGACACAACAGTAATATCGATGGTCTCTGTAAAACCATTCAATTTTAGAAACTAAGAACATTACAAAAAAAAAAATCTAAAACTTGTTTCTTTATCAAAAGCCCTGCTTTAGTGACATGCTAACCCCATTCCACCACTGGAAAGGTAAAACAACCACAACTCTGTCCAGAACATGATTAAGTTGACCAGCCAACTCATAGTTCAGAACACCTTCCTTGTTTTGATCTACACACCGGACAAGCAGTTCACAGCTGCTCAAGTTTCACTGATAAACATTAGTGCTGGCTTCCCAAGTCTGGTAACCAGCTTCCTGCAAACTGCAGGCCATGCCAAAAATCCTCATCCAGTTCTGCGCTGAGCCCTCCAAGCTCACCCTCGATCCTACCTGGAGGCCCTCCAACAGCAACCTCAGGAACCCTGCCTGCTCTAGCCGGCCAAGTCACTGGAACATCATCATTTAAAACAAAACACTTTCATATATAATTTTTTTGTTTTTATATTTAAATAGAAAAATACTACTTCACTCTGTTATGAGCAGGAGATCAGTTGACTTCCAGTGACAGAACGAGGAGTTCTTCTAAATGCTCCTGTGCTGAGCTTGATGTCAGAAGATTCCTGGAAACCTTAAGGTGGCCAGAGGTGGAAAATTCCTCCATAACGCCATGCAGGTGGGAGAGAGCAGGGGTCCATCACAGTTCTTATCTTCCCTTCTCCTCAGAAGGGCACTATAACCTTTGAGAGCCAGCAATGAGGCTAACATCCAAATATGACTCTAAGGGAAGCCAGTGATAACTGTAGCTTTTTCACTTGTCTGCTGGCTTTTTGCTTGTGTGTGGTCTGTCCCTGGAAGCCAGTGGATCCCCATCAGATGTACAGATGAATTAGACAAAAAACAGTGGTTAAAAGTTTTCTAACACCCTCTCCTCCTGTCTTTTGAAGTCAATGACAAACAGATATTGATAAAACTAAACTCTCCCTCCTCCCCCACCTCAAGACAACAAGAGTTATTGGGACACGAAACACGGCATCTTGTGCCCTCAGAATTACATCTAGAAGGGAATTTTAGGGGCATAGGAACTGTGGGGGGAAGGCGGTGTCTGTAGGCACAGTCCGCTTAGTTTTTGTACTCAAACGGCTCGTCTCCAGTTTCATTGAGGAGACACGTGCGGACAAGGGCCTCCGTCACAGCGTAAGGATCACAGTTGGCAGAAGGCCGGCGGTCCTCGAAGTAGCCCTTCTTCTCATGGCCCACATTCCTGGGGATGCGGATGCTGGCGCCGCGGTTGGCCACACCAGCGGAGAACTCATGGATGCTGGAGGTCTCGTGGAAGCCTGTCAGGCGCCTGGCATTGTCCAGCCCCCCTTTGGGGTCATAGGCGCGGATGTGGTACTGGTGACGCTTGCCCAGCTTCTCAATGGCCTCTTCGATGTGCCTGCAGAGCAGGCAAGGAAGGAGAAAAAAAATATGGTGAGCATCTGAGGGTAACACCTGGGTCACAATGGACTATTGCGTCCAAGTGAAAGATTCATCCCTCTCTCCAGGCCACTTCATGATGAAGCCTTATGTCCTACAACCGATTTTTGGGAACATCTGCAGAGGCAGGGAAGGGGGTGTCTCTCTTCTCCCACTTGTTCTTACTCAGGTTGGTTTTTGGACAAGGATCCCCATGGTCTGAGAAGGATGACACCAATTCAACCCACAGGCAAATCCCACAGGCTGTGTTGCCACTGATGAATCTGCCCTCACAAGGGGAGATTTCTGTTCTGACACAGAAGTTTCTATTCAGGAAACTACTCAACACATCAGTCCCATAAGACAACTTGTGTTTTACGTTTCCAGGATCTTCATGTTTAAGCAGCACAGCATTTGCTGTCAACCTGGTCTAGAGGCAAGCAAGTGCTCTTTCATCATGATCTAAGCTTGGCATAGGTCTTTTGGTTAGGATTCCCCTGCCTCACCCCACCCCCAGCACTGGCAGGGTAGCTGCAGCCTGTCCATCCATACTTCAACCAGCCCAGATGGAGCTGTACTGCTGGCTGAATTTCCCACCCAGCACCAAGATGAAGAGTGGGAAGAAGAAAAGAAAAAGAAAAAAGTAAAACCCACAAACAGAGTGAAATCTAGAGCTCCTGAGGAATGAAAAAGCTCATGCATAATATCAAGCACCAAAGTGACATCTCCCATGTGGTCAAAGCTCTGCAAAAGACTTGTAACTACCAGCCAGGTCAAACTTGCTCCTTAGCTAATGGATGCCATGAGCCCAGCTCAAAAGAGACTTACTTGAGACCTCCGTCTTCCCTCATGCTCTTGGTGCTGAAGTTGGTGTGACAGCCAGCACCATTCCAGTTCCCAGGGATGGGTTTGGGATCAAAGGACACAATGACCCCAAAGTCTTCGCATACTCGATGGAGGATGAATCGTGCAATCCAGAGGTGATCTCCCATCTCAATCCCTTCACATGGTCCCACCTGGAACTCCCACTACAGGAAGGAACAATCAGGGGCTCAGTGATGCAGACACACAAACAATGAGGCACTGCTTGTCCCCTTACACCCTGATCACTGTCAAAACTACATGCCTCAGAGCAGGCAGCAAGAGCTCCCGCTGCATGGGATTTTTCTGTACTATCTCATTCCACAAGGCATCTAAAACAGTTTACCTGGGCTGGCATCACTTCTGCATTGGTTCCACCGATTTTCACTCCAGCGTAAAGGCATGCTCGGTAGTGGGCCTCCACGATGTCTCTGCCATAGGCTTTGTCTGCCCCTACGCCACAGTAGTATGGACCTGCAATGGCACAGATGGAAAGCAAACATCAGTTTCTAGTAGGAAGAAAGTCTCAAATTCGGTGAAGGTAGAGCATACAAAATTCTCCAAAGTTTCAGGGTGCGTGGAAAAGCCCCAGCAGTCACTTTTCACCGGAGTAACAGAAGAACAGAGCACTAATGAAGCTAGAGTCCCTCCAGTAGTCTGAACTTGTGCTCTGTAACACTGGGCAAGAGTTTCAGCCACCTGCAAACTAAAAAACTGAACAGCACGTTTGAATGCAGCCCATCATCATTTTAGCCTTTCCGAGACAAATTTAATCTCATATGCTAGTTTTAGCCAACATCCTGCTTGCTATTGGAGACCTTCAGTTCTAGAAACACATTGAATCGTTCAGCTCATTTGAGGCATTTCAGCTATCTCACAAGGATTACAAAACAGTGTTCAGTATTCCTGACTTGTTCCAGTGCAACTCCTGGAAGGTTACCTTGGGGTCCAGGAAAGCCATTGGAAGGCCAGCCAAATGGATGCCCGTCTGTCCCCAGAAGAGTGTACTCTTGCTCCATCCCAAACCAGGGGTGCTGGTTGGACACCATATCCATAATCCGCCTACAGGTGTGTCGGAGATTTGTCTCTAGAATGGAAAAGAGGCACAAGGCTCATTAGTGTCTTCATCGTAGCCCAGACCGCAGGGATCCAGCTGCTTCACCCAGCTGCAGCTCAGGAACTCAGGCTCTAGTTGTTCTGCCTGTGAGCCATCTCTACCTTCATTTACCACCTCTACTTTATTTACAATCCAAGTCCCAGCAGTGTCAGTGGAGAGAAGCATCCCAAGACTAGGCCTTTTTCCACCACTAGCACTTCCTTTGTGCTTTATTTTCAGGTTAGCATTTATTTTGTCTTGCATGACGCTAAGGGCACAAACAGCATTTGGACAGGTCTCCTGTTTCCCCTTCTTCTACCAACAGCTTGCCCTGCCAGCAGGGACAGGCTCCTTTCCCCTCCTCAGAAATACCACCTCCACCAGGAGAAGGCCCACTCACCTGCCGACTGCCGGTTGTATTTGAAGACCTCACAGAGAACTAGCTTATTTGGGTCCTTGCGAAAAGGGTCCCGGAACATGGCAGCAGGCCGCAGGTACATGTCGCTGTTGGAGCCTTCAGCCTGGAAAGTGCTGGAGCCATCGAAATTCCACTCGGGGAGATCTGGAGAGGAGAGAGTCGCTGTAAACTGAGGTCCCGCACCACCAGGGTGACAGCCTCCCCACCGCCATTCAGCGCTATGGAGGGGCAAGTACTCATCAAGAACGGGCCCACAACAGGTTTAATCCCAGCAAAGGCAGGGGAGCAACTCCCTGGCTCCGCAGCCGCCCTGGGAAACACCAGGACCCGGGCTGCTGGCCGAGCCCCTGTTAACAGCGCAGCACTGAAGACATTTCCCATCTTGCATCAAAAAGGGACGAGCAGAGCACCCAGTCTTCTCGCAGAGGCACCTGGGCAAGCTCAGAGAGGGCAGGACACAAGACGCATTGCAGGTGCAGGAACAAGGAGAGGGGAGCTGCAGCGCACGCTCCTCCACGCCACTGCGGCTAGGAGAAGGTGGGAGTACAAATCGCACATGAGGCCATGTAGGCTGAGTCTCATACAAAGGGGGAGCATCAGCCAGACAGTCCAGTGCAGCCTGTGAGGCGAAGGCGCCAGCTTCACTCCCCTTGCCCACCCCTCCTCGCTGCCCTCCAGGTCAAAGCACAGCCAGAGCAGCAGCAAACTCTACCCAAGCAATGTTATCTCCTTCATATCCTCGGAGGGGGGAAAGCAGGAGGAAGGGAATCAAAGATTGCAAAGGAGCTGTGCCAACCACTCCCTCAGAGGGAAAAGGAGAAGGGGAAAAAAAAAAAGAAAAAGAAAAAAGAGAGATAATTCTGCTCAGTCACACACAGTATTTTCATTTCATAACTGTCTCCAGCCAGTACCATGGCAACCTGGGGAAAAATCCTAATGCTATTATTGTGTAAGCTGGGACTGTTTGTTCTGAGGGACACAAGCTCTTAATTACACCGGATAGCTCCATTCTTTCTCTTCCACTTTCTTCTGCCAAACTACTTCCGGCCAAAACAAGTACTGGAGAGTCAATGGGCTGTGGATTCCCTGCCAACAGCCCCCTCCACAGTGGGTAAGGCGGGTGCAACTCCAGGGCTGGGCTCCCAACCCCTGGCATGTCATTTAACCACCACATCTGGAGAGCTGGGAATGTT